CTACATTTAACATTAATTTAAAAATTCATGCAATGGACAATGATATCGTCCTCAATTAAAAGAGGTAAATGAATTCGATTTGATTATTTTTATGCTACAATTTAAAGGTCCGATACTGTGTTCTATTACCGTGTTAGTGTTCCTTAAAGATACATAACATACTATATCAATTTATTAAACATAAAAAGTAATGTTTAATGTAACTCATAAATATTTGTAGATTGCTTCGAGAATTCTGCTATATTTTGAAAAATATCGTGCGTTTTCAAGTGCACGTAACAAATGGAAATTAGTCGGTAACTATCCGTCGGTATTTTCTATTAGGAGGGAATACTTCCTCGTCTTCGTCCTTATCAGCAGATAGGAAAGGGTCGTCATAAGCATAATTTGGTGCCCATTTCAGTAACAATTTTTCAAAAAATTCTTCTAAATTTCGAGCTTCTTGATACACTTGCGATTCAACCTAAACGCAAAGAAATAATTAGATAATAAACTTCATGGCTACAGAACTATAAGTAATAAATTGTATGAAATATAGTTACTTACAGGATTGTATGTAAAAGCATTCTTAAACATCAATCTGATGTCTGCCATTACTTGTCTTAGATCTGTATAATGATTGGGATGATCAGGTTTTAATTTATCTCTAATTACATCTAATGCAATCGGTTTCTTTATGATACGATGATACTCAATTATCTGTACAAAGAAATAGCACATACAAATTACGTTTATGCTTATAAGATTCTGAATATACATAAGTTTGACAGTAATATATTTGCCTCGCTGGAAACAACTTCACGGAAGGGTAAACTTTGCTCGTACTGGCAGTAAAGTTCCAATACAATTCTTTGGGCAATTCTTAATTCTTTTGCACTCATAGTGTTGGGCCTTTTTTCCCCTGGTGGATCATCTGAGCAATCGAGCACATTTGTACATAACATACATTGCCAAGTTTCACTTTCACTGAAATATTGTGAATCAATTTTGAATAATATCACATCATACATTGAAAATAAATTGTACTACCTATAACATGCTTACTCAGGAAACGATTTTAAGCTAGGAATATGACAATACAAGTGGAAGACTTTTGGACATTTATCACAACACAGCACAGCATCTCCTCCATCCATACATACTGCACACCAGTCTTCATTAGGATCGTCCTTTGTCATGGATGCTGTAGCATTTTTTGAATTATCTATTGAACATATAATTATGTACGTACATAACTATCACTTTAACATCAAGTATCACATATTTTATTGTATTAATATTTAGATTAATAAACTTAGCATAGAATACAATAATTATTTATTTAAAACGTTAAAATACCTGATGAATTCTCAGCCATCGGATTCATTCCCTCATCAGTTGAACTATCTACTTGGGCAGAATCCAATTGATTTCGTTGGGCCTCTGGTATCACCACAATTCCGTTACTATCTAATTTTGCAATGGTTAACATCAGATCGTTTAAAGATTTTTGGCAAAATTTATCCAAACTTTTTTCAGTTTCATCTGTCTTTCCAGGAGGCACAGGACTAGGTGTCTTAGGTACCGATGAACTGACCGCATGGCCAACGGATGCTGAATTTTGTACTTGGGGTGTGTTATCAGTTGCGGCACTTGTTTGTGTATTGTATTTTTGATTGTTGTGTGGTTGTTGATTTTTTAACGTTATTTTATAAGTATCGTTGATAGGAACTGGCATTGGGGGTGTAGCTTGATGACGCGAAGGATAATAAGGAAGGCAAGGATTAACATTTTGAGGGATGTGCCAACGTGCTGCAGATGGTTGTTGGACAGGATAATTCAGGTGTTGTGCAGATGGAGAAGTTGCGTTGCATTGCTGAAGCCTTATACCAGACACCATAGATGTGTTCGTTGGTTGATACGTATGTGGCGGTACTGGTCGTTGAGAATTATTTGTAGGGTACCTATAAGGTGGTAGTCGATATGGTACATGGTTTGTAGAAGGCCGATAGGGTGGAGGATTATGTGCAAGAAGACCGCGTAGACTCGTGTTCTGTCCGAGTTGATCCATATGAACTTGTTGATGAGGATGTGTAGACGATGTCACTTGCTGATGGCAACTCCCCAATGGACGTTGTTGCATCATTAATGGTTGCTGCAACCTACTGTTGAAGTTAACTGGGTATGGTACACGTGGCTGATGTGCTTGAGGTGATGATCGAGGTGGCATATTGTTCATAGGATAATGTTGCATATAATTTTGTGATTGTGCTTGTTGCAATTGTTGTTGCTGTTGCTGCTGCTGTTGTGGTTGTTGTTGCTGATGTTGTGTTAAAGGTAACGATGGAGGCACTTGCTGATAGGAATTTTGTTGAATATTACTTGATTGCTGAGTTGCAGGAGGTATTTGTACAGCCATAGGGGAACCATCCATAGGTGCACTAGGAAGATTAGCTGTTTGTTTCTGCTCTGGCTGAGATTCACTGTATGGCATGGATGGCGTATTTGCACCACCTAATGGAGATATCGAAGGATATACTCTACCATCCACAACTATTGCTCCAATTGATGAGACCACTGAAATATGAATATATTTATTTTAGACTGATTATGTAATTAACGTTAAGAAGACGTTGTAATTTATGATCATAGCAATATTACATAGTGTGCCTATATTTAATAACATAATTAAGCACCTATTTATACTAATTTAACCTTTTATCAAGTCTGGTACTTTTTCCAAAGATAAATGTATTCTAACAGGTATTTCTGGATTTGGAATGTCAGCCCGTCTGCTTTTTATTCTTTGTAAGTGACTCGTAACAGATCTACGATAACAATGTTAATTAATGTACACAACAATATTAATTACATTATGCTTGTAATAACCAAGTACATACTTTTTACTATACAGCAATTCCAAATCTGATCCTTTCTTTAAGGCATGTGCCACGAATTGAATACAATGATCTGTAAGCTTTGATAATTGATCTAAAGCAACTTTCTTTTCGTTTAATGTATTTTGCTTTTGATCACAAACTTCATTTAATCGCATAACTAATTGTTTCCCTCGTGTACTAATTGCATTCGTTAACCTTTAGAAGAACAAATTATACAGTCTGAAGAACCTTATTTTATCGATATCAATTTTTACGTAAAGAATACAAAAACTTACTGTACCACCATTTGTGTTATATCTTGTACTAAATTTTTCTTCTTTTCTAAAATAAGGACTTGTCTATCCTCTATAACTTTCATTGCACTTTTCAATAAAACTCGTTTATAACTGAAGACATAATTACATTATAACTACAATGGTTACAGAAAATAAATTCTCTAAATAACAGTACTCATAAATATGAGAGCACCAATTACCTGACTTCTTTAAGTAATGTTGATACCGAAGTACGTGTCTCAGCAGCAATTTCATGAATAAATTTGTATTTATGATCTCTGTGTTCGCTTAACTGACAATCTCTACAAGTAAGTTTATCACATGTTTGACAAAATAATGACAATTGTTCATGTGAATGAATTGTACAAAATAAATAGCCAGGTATCTTTTTGTTGCTCTTTTTAACATTATCTCTATCATTGGCAACTTCATCCTTTGGTTTAATTGTATGATCCTTGGTGATTTTTAATCTTTGATGTGCCTTAAAGAGTACAAAAGCAGTATTATCTTTCAAATTGCAAATAAAGACTATACAGATATAGCTGTGCCAATCGAATTATACTGTAATTTAATCACATTATACTTCAATTTTATTGTAATCTATGAATAATAACATATTCATCACTAACAATAATTTTTCCTGCTTGAAATTTGATCCACTTATTGAAATTCTGATTCAATTACATTGTACTTTGTAATAATATTTCAACTGCAATTATAAATTGAGATGTAATTTAATAAAATGAGAAATTAAAATTACAAATTATATTGCAAGTGAATACAATACAATTAAATTACATTATAATTATAATTTATGGAATAATTCAATGGTAATTCTGTACAACTATATATGTAGGCCATATATGTTTGTATATATCACAGCAAATGTATAATTACCATAACACAATTTTGACAGATAAATTCTTCGCATTCTACACACCAGCTTGTGGCATTAGCATTATCATGGCAGCTGGTACATTTCTTTTCTTCTTCTGTTTCTTTAGATTCATCATCGGTACCTGGATTACTATCTTCTTCTATAAATTTTGACAAAAACCGATTTTCAATTAAATTGTCCACTTGGGTGGTAACATTACAAATTTGACAAGCAATTACATTGCTTTCCACTGCAACAATATATACATAATTTAATTTTACCAAAACTAGTACAATGTTTTGAGATATCATTTCAAATAATAATGTAGGAAGGAATGAAAAATTACAGAGAATTTAATACAGAATCAATAACGATGAAAATCACGAGAGTATTACTGCGATCTTACACAAAACATCCACGTCAACCGATGTATTGTGGTCGCTCAGTTTACTGTTGACACATGTTGTGCACGCTGCGTGTAAACACTCCAAAAGTTTTGGATCGTCCCCGGCAACGAAAGTTTTCTCGCAGAACACACATTTTGATAAAAATGCACGCGTTTCGTTTTCCTGGCTTTCGGTGGTGCACTCGATACGCTGCTCGCACTCTTCCTCTATGCAAACGCCCTGTACTTGAGACTGTTGCATATCTTGTTGTTTCGCACCAGGTTGGTCGACTGGTTCCTCTTTAATCGTTGCCGCTGGGCTTGATGTTAGCAACTCATTTGCTCGGGGTTCCATATTAAAACCATTCAAGCATAAATAGGCACACACAAGAATCGTTTTTACAATTTATGAAAATATATCTTTCTTGAACCGTGGAGCGCCATGGTCCTTGTCCACCATGCTACATATGTACTCAATTCATTCTGATTAAAACAGTTTAGATGGGAATCCGCAGAATGAGTTAGGTACCGCAAACAGTGACGGTCTTTGTAATCAAAGTTCGAATAATTTTGGAAGTTTCAGAGCCGTTTCAATTTGATGAAATAAAATATTTTTACACAGCGAACGTTATAAATTAATAAACGTTTCGTTGATAGATTAATATTGTAACTATTGACAATTTAAAAATAATTATGGCACAATATCTCAAGTTTTGCAAAACTCTCCGACCGTAGCGCGTTCCGTTAGCGAGAATAGAAGTAGAAATTGCTTTGCTCTGATTGGCTGACGACTCAATGCTAAAGCAGGATTCACTGCAGATTGGACAAGCAGTAAAATGGTGGGGATGTGTATGTCGCGTTGAGTTAAAATTGTGGCAGATATTCATGTAACAACGATCATTGTGCATTTTTAATTTTCTCTCTTGTATGTATGCATACATACATTGACTATATGTATGTAAAATGTAACTTACATGCAGATCTCCCAGCATTCTAACCGTTCGTGGAATTACCACTCAAGACCAGTGCGTACATTGGTATCCCATAAATTACAGGATTTTGTTAATTCAGCTATCCTAGTACTTGTCAACTGCAACGGGCAGGTATCAACGCTCTACTCTACGAGAAGCAAAGCTGAAAAGCGCATCCATATTTTCTTAGAAAGACTATTTATTATAACATAAATTCTCAAATCCAGAGATTTAGAGAATTAGAATTAAGAATTATTGAAGATTGGAACAATTTACTGGCAAAAAAAGAGTAGAAGCTGTACGAATAAAATTGTATTTTATAAAATACAATTTTATTCGGGCATCGACATTCTCACTTCTAGAGCGGATAAGCACAAACATTCCCGCTTGCATGAATTTGAGGCGTTGGAAGGGGCGGTTATTATTAAACAGAGGAGTCTGAGGAACACAGGAGATTGTTGTTGCTTCTATGGTTTGATCGGAAAAGACGTAAAGTCGAATTTCGCAGCCCGTAATTCTGAAGTTTGAATTCGCGCCATACATTCACGCTCAGGCGAGATCTGGGGGTATAAACCGTACTACCTGACAGACCCGAAATCATAAATGCCGTTATTTCATAGTATTGAAATTGAAAATCTGTTTTCAACCAGAAAGTCTGCACGTTTATTCCATAACGAAAATAATTTCGATCACCGTATGCCAATTGAACTGGTCTTCAATTTCTACGTATAAATATGTATATCCCCATCAAAACTACGTAAAGACAAAAACAGTTAACACATATTCCCTTTATGATTGGAATAATTATACAATGCCCTAATAAATAGACAGAATAGTTTGTCCGAATAAATAGATAGAATAGTTCGATCATAGTTTTACAGGAATATTTTTATATGAAAGACAGTATGAAATAATGGTTCTGGAGAAGAAAGTAAATATCTAAGATTAGCAATATAAGGATTCTCCGAGGGTGAAAAGGCCTAAGTATGTATATGCCAAGGCTTGGACGATAAGAGTTTCCGCAGGTATCGAGAATCCTTAGAATTTACTGTACCTAGACCTGCAATAAAAGGATTAACGGTACGTACGGAAACTTCTATTGTGCTTTTTCGACTTTCCCTAAATCGCCAGATCGGGTAATTTGTGCAGGATTGAAATGGTCGTAGGATTTCCCCTGAACGTTACTAATAACGGTACTTTTCAAGGCCTCAAATTGATGGAAACGAGAAAGTTCGTCCTTATTCGCCCTAAAAATGAGAATGTCGATACTTTGAAATATAATTTGCTATGTACACAGACGCACAAACACAGCCATTTTTCCTTTTATTCCTAATTTCGTTGTAGATTGCAGATCAAAATTTCTACTAGACGTTTTAGAATTATTTTATATAGTTTTTTACTCTTCTTTTGCCTGTAAATTGTTCCAATCTTCAATAATTCTTAACTCTAATCCTCTAAATCTCTGAGTTTTTGAGAATTTTTTGTAGGTAATTACTAAATTAAATATATAGTCTTTCTAAGAAAATATGAATGCAAGTTTCAGCTTTATTTTTCAAAGTTTTACAAATAAAAATCGTTTAAAATTGCGAAATTATTTGTTGCTTTCGAAACTCCTTCTCATAGCATTGATTGATTGCTGCCCGTCATAGCAGCGAATATGGCAGAATTAACCAAATTTTGTAGATTCATAAACTATAAAGTATTATCTAAAATGTAGCTTAAGTAGGTAATAATTGTAATATTGTAAATATTAATTGTAATAATTGTAGAAATGATCGTCGTTTTAGGACGTTCGCAAATATTTGACGAAAAGTATAAGTCGAATATCGCGCCACGTATTTCAGATGGACCACCAGGTATATGAATGCGCGAATAGAGTGAGACCGCAAGCACGGTAAAGTGAAACAAGCTACATTGGTCGTCGGTGTGACTTGTTTTGTTTGTGGTTATGCTGCTATCGCGCACTCTTGCTCACTCCCACTTTTTCTCTTTCTCTAGCATTGTGGGGGCAACATTGTTTAGCTGCGAAGCGTTAACCAATCAGAGAAGAAGCAGTTTCTCTACCTGTTCATAATTCTAAGCCGGTTGCCCCCACCTTGGCTTACTATGGTGAGGTACTACTATACCGATGTACCAGACGAGTTTTGTAAATAGTATGTTTGATACGTGCGAACAGTTCGGAAGTGAAACGATTCTACTTTTCAATCATGCGTTTCAATAGAGGAAAGTTAATAGGTATGTTGCTTCAATTATAATATCTTCATAATGTTATATTAATAGAAAAATAAATTAGTAACAAGCGCTGGTATTTTTATTTCTATAATTTTGTATTGGTTAGTAGTTAACCTATAAATATATTAGTAATTCTTTAACTTTTTAATTTATTAAATCAATACCTTCTTTTTATTCTTCCGTAGAAGTAAATGAAAATAATTAATGATGAATAATTTGCAGGAGATTTATTTGATGACTGTTACGATAGTGATAATGATAGTATACAAGCTTCTACCGATAGCGATGACACTGTAAGTAGTAGTGACGAATCTGAATCAGGAAAAGATGATCGTGCAGAAGAAAATTCAAATAATAATGAGATTCATACCCATACAAGTATGTATTATGTTAACTCAATATTTATATTTAACTTTGTATTAATTTAATCATTTAAGTCATTGTTTATTAATTTTTCAATTAATAAAAGTTCTATTATAATTACAAGGTGAAGACACGGAACCTATAATACTAAATGAAGATGAAGAAGAAGATGAAGTTGTTAAAGCCATTATTAGATCGGGAGATGTACAGAGAAATCATCCTCCTCCCATTGAAACAGAAGATCATGTAGTAGATATATGCTTTCATCCAAATGCAAATGTGATTGCTGTAGCTAACATAATAGGCGATGTTCACCTGTAAGTTTTACCTTAATCTGATATTCACATTACTATGTATAACAGGGTTTACTATAACTAAAATTTTTACTTGCTAGGTATAAATATAGTAACACTAGAACACAACTTGCTTCAATATTGGAACTGCATCTGAAAGCATGTCGTGATATAGAATTTAATGGAGACGGAACGTCATTATTTTCAGCTGCTAAGGATCTATCTGTAATGCTTACTGATGTAGAAACAGGAAAGCTAATAAGATTATATGAGAATGCACACAAGTAGGTATAAATTGCTCCCTTCAACTTGTGAAATTTAATCTGTATGTGTGATTAATAATTGATTTATGTCCATAGTGCACCTGTGTATACCATGACTGTAATTGGCGAACATATGCTCGCAACTGGAGACGACGATGGAATAGTAAAATGTAAATAATTAGTGTTGACGTATTACCTTTTTTCATTTCTAACTATGGATTTATATTTATACATAAATATTTTTAGTATGGGATCTTAGACAAAGACGAGATGATCCTACATTTTCAATAAAGAAGATGGAAGATTATGTAAGTTCTATCATAACAAATAGAGATGGGAAATATTTAGTATGTGGGAGTGGTGATGGCTCTCTCACAACGTTTAATATACCAGGAAAAAAATTTCATGTTCAGGTATGTATTTATAAATGTATCACATAAAATTGATTTTTCTATTTTTAATAGTAAAAATTTTAACAGTCGGAAGAATATGAGGAGGAGTTAACATGTCTCGGTTTATTTAAAAATGAAACAAAAATTTTGGTGGGATCTAGTAAAGGCAAAATGTACATATACAATTGGGGAGAGTTTGGACTCCATTCTGATGAGATTCCTAGTGTAACGAAAAAGGCTATAAATTGTATGATTCCAATTACCCAGAATGTAGTAATTACGGGCGGAGAAGATGGAGTACTCAGGTAATGAATCAATTTTGAATTAGAATACTCTGCTCATTGAATAAAGTAATGACGTAATTAATATATTTATATGCAGGGCTTCAAGCTTGTATCCACGTAACGATCTTGGAATTGTTGGACAACATAAATTCTCCATTGAAACCATTGATATAAATAGTGATGGCACTTTGATTGCATCTTCTTCACATAATAATGATGTCAAATTTTGGAATGTACAATATTTCGAAACATTAGATGTTACTAACCGCGTGAAAGGCGGCAAACAAAAACAACTAAAACATAACCTTCCAAGTAGTAAAGTCGACAACGCGTCGAGTTTTTTTTCAGATCTTTAGAATAGAAACACAAATAATAATTATATATTAAATATTGTATATTTATTATTAAAATTATATTTTTCAATATGATTATACAAATAAGAATGTACTGCGTATTCTATGGCTGTGTATGCACACAAGCCCAATCCCTCGTCTATGATTGGATAGTACGATACCGTTCTCAAGAATTAGCATAGTAAAGCCATCTATGTACTACATTTTCAAAATTATCAACTATGGGTAATTGTGGCGAACAGCTTGGACATTTTTTCACTAAATGGATTGGCGCTGTACAGTGATACAAGAGGCGCCATAAATCCCTCAGTGGAGGTAAACTTGAACTGTTTTTAATTAAAGAAAAAGGAAACACTTCTAGAGGGGATAATCCGAAAATTTCGAGTCAAGAATTCATCTCAGATACGAGTGAAGTTCTCTCACGTCTCTATTGAAAACCATTTTCACAAACAATGTTGCAACATACTTTGATACACAATTTTATTTTTATGATAGTTTAATTGTCATACACTTATACTGAAAGTTGAACACTGTATTATCTGTATTTAAAGATGACAATAAAATTACGTATAAATATAAATATTCTAAAAAATTACATATGAAAATTGTACAAGATTCTTTCAGTAAACTTTCATTATTATGATTTTATAATACAATTGTAGTAGGTGTACAGTAGTATGGTCTTGACAGTCGCTTGCAGTGGTAGTATACAATGGAAAGATACAAATTCGAGCCTGTAATATTAGTACGCAATATATAAAAACAATAAATTAATCTTTTCTTATTTAATAAATTACTATATTGCATACCTGGAGCAAGGCAGAGTAAACTACAAAAAGATAAGGAAGAAAGGAATTCAAAACTTAAAGTTGTATAATTCCGTGTATCTTTCTAAAAATATCATAAAGTACACGCTTTTGAACGTTCATTTTAAACCATTCATTGTACAATTCGTAATTTACAACAAGATACTTATTATACATTTGTTTACTTTTTAGACAGTGATAAGAGTTTATTCGGTATTGACTAAAGAATATTATAAAAATGATTCTCTAAATAATAACAAAAATTCCCTTCATATTTACTACTGTGATTACAAGCATTTAATACACTTTGTAACTTATACTTAATTACTAAAATGAACTTATAAAAATATGAATTTCGTACGATATAAACAAAATATAAGAATTCATGATATATTATGAAATTTAAATTATTTTTGCTAATATAAATTAGAATAAATAATACTGATATTATACAACACTTAATAAAATCTGTAATTTAGTACAAAGTTGGATAATTCTAATTTTGAAGACTTTCTGAAGTCTTCAAATAAATTTGTATATTCTTACGTGAAAAATGGTTAATAATGAAAGCACTATCGTACATTAATAGGATATATAAATGTTCTTATTGATTAGTTATTAATATGCTAAACATTACTAACATATTTATATAGTAATACCTGTCTCTTATACACATCTAGATGTGTATAAGAGACAGGCATTTAATACACTTTGTAACTTATACTTAATTACTAAAATGAACTTATAAAAATATGAATTTCGTACGATATAAACAAAATATAAGAATTCATGATATATTATGAAATTTAAATTATTTTTGCTAATATAAATTAGAATAAATAATACTGATATTATACAACACTTAATAAAATCTGTAATTTAGTACAAAGTTGGATAATTCTAATTTTGAAGACTTTCTGAAGTCTTCAAATAAATTTGTATATTCTTACGTGAAAAATGGTTAATAATGAAAGCACTATCGTACATTAATAGGATATATAAATGTTCTTATTGATTAGTTATTAATATGCTAAACATTACTAACATATTTATATAGTAATACCTGTCTCTTATACACATCTAGATGTGTATAAGAGACAGGCATTTAATACACTTTGTAACTTATACTTAATTACTAAAATGAACTTATAAAAATATGAATTTCGTACGATATAAACAAAATATAAGAATTCATGATATATTATGAAATTTAAATTATTTTTGCTAATATAAATTAGAATAAATAATACTGATATTATACAACACTTAATAAAATCTGTAATTTAGTACAAAGTTGGATAATTCTAATTTTGAAGACTTTCTGAAGTCTTCAAATAAATTTGTATATTCTTACGTGAAAAATGGTTAATAATGAAAGCACTATCGTACATTAATAGGATATATAAATGTTCTTATTGATTAGTTATTAATATGCTAAACATTACTAACATATTTATATAGTAATACCTGTCTCTTATACACATCTAGATGTGTATAAGAGACAGGCATTTAATACACTTTGTAACTTATACTTAATTACTAAAATGAACTTATAAAAATATGAATTTCGTACGATATAAACAAAATATAAGAATTCATGATATATTATGAAATTTAAATTATTTTTGCTAATATAAATTAGAATAAATAATACTGATATTATACAACACTTAATAAAATCTGTAATTTAGTACAAAGTTGGATAATTCTAATTTTGAAGACTTTCTGAAGTCTTCAAATAAATTTGTATATTCTTACGTGAAAAATGGTTAATAATGAAAGCACTATCGTACATTAATAGGATATATAAATGTTCTTATTGATTAGTTATTAATATGCTAAACATTACTAACATATTTATATAGTAATACCTGTCTCTTATACACATCTAGATGTGTATAAGAGACAGGCATTTAATACACTTTGTAACTTATACTTAATTACTAAAATGAACTTATAAAAATATGAATTTCGTACGATATAAACAAAATATAAGAATTCATGATATATTATGAAATTTAAATTATTTTTGCTAATATAAATTAGAATAAATAATACTGATATTATACAACACTTAATAAAATCTGTAATTTAGTACAAAGTTGGATAATTCTAATTTTGAAGACTTTCTGAAGTCTTCAAATAAATTTGTATATTCTTACGTGAAAAATGGTTAATAATGAAAGCACTATCGTACATTAATAGGATATATAAATGTTCTTATTGATTAGTTATTAATATGCTAAACATTACTAACATATTTATATAGTAATACCTGTCTCTTATACACATCTAGATGTGTATAAGAGACAGGCATTTAATACACTTTGTAACTTATACTTAATTACTAAAATGAACTTATAAAAATATGAATTTCGTACGATATAAACAAAATATAAGAATTCATGATATATTATGAAATTTAAATTATTTTTGCTAATATAAATTAGAATAAATAATACTGATATTATACAACACTTAATAAAATCTGTAATTTAGTACAAAGTTGGATAATTCTAATTTTGAAGACTTTCTGAAGTCTTCAAATAAATTTGTATATTCTTACGTGAAAAATGGTTAATAATGAAAGCACTATCGTACATTAATAGGATATATAAATGTTCTTATTGATTAGTTATTAATATGCTAAACATTACTAACATATTTATATAGTAATACACCACATACAACTTAGCAGAATATTCCATGTCTCAAAAGAATGCTTTGGACTTCAAATGTCTCACAATTTTTTGTGTGTAAAAGCAAAATAGATCTATGCTGTTTAAATAAAATAACTTGCTTTAATAAATATTATTACTTTGATATCAAACATGCTAACAAGAAGATACAGTGCAATATATTAATTGCTCATTATTTATTTTTAAAAAATCTTAAATAAATACTTCAAATTGTTATTACAGTACGTTATTTACTCGCAAACACGAGTTGGATAAAAAGTTGGACTCAGCCTTAATTATATTGTATTACAAATATGCTTGCCTGAAAAGTTATTTTACTGATGATTCATTTGACGTAAATATTCTGGCGTATGATAGTGTTGCTGCTGTGCATGAGCAAGCGAGGGATGAATGGGCGACGGAAAGCATCGAACATGTTCAACGCTTGATGCATCACTATCTCCGCTCTTCAAATACTTATTTAATACAGCAAAAATTTGCGAATTTAATACTTGAAATCTTCTGATTCTGTCCACCATTCTTTTCAAATGCTATGCAACACAATAAATACAATTTGTCATAATGTTCTGAAAAATGTTATATTTAATCAAATACTTATAAAAAAAGGACACTTACGATTCCTTTAACATTTTCGTCTTTTCCGTCCACCCGTTGTACTCTTAGGATATGATAACAGAAATCAAGAGCCTCGAAACGTCTTTGTTGACCAAGTAATACTATCATAGCACATCCAGCCCAATGTAAACCTTCTCCGAATAATTCCCTACAATGATAGTCATATTGCATAGTTGTTTATATTGCTTTAATAATAAATTCTATTGTAATATTACACATAAGTATGCTACTGACTCAACAGTAAATTCTGTTTCTCCGACGGGAATACAATACACAAACTGTAACGCACTCCACAATCTATGAAATTCTGTACATTCGTCGACGTTCATTACTCCATTTGCTGGAGGAGGACCAACCCATATGGGATCATCCAAGAAACTACGTAATCTGCTAAGTACCACTTCGAATATTGATAAACCACAGCAAAGTCGTTCCCGTGTCAGTAAATCTCCTTCTCTGGCAATCATTGCTTGCTGTAACAATACGTATATACGTAGTCGAAATATAATTAGGCGCAGTTGTATCATACATTGCTGTGTACATTTTTCATTGCTTACCTTAGCTGTACCTAGATTATCTACGTTTGGAACGATCTGCAAGGCTGCATATTTTGCTTCAAGTCGTTTCTGCTTAGTTTCCGGTTTTTCACCCTCTGAAAATACAATCGTTAGAGTATTTGTTTGTGTATCATTATCAAATCTGAAATTATACCTTTACAGTAAGGCCTAGGCAATATATTTTGAAACGGCGCTGCATGTAACAAATCGCAAACTTCTTCCTGTGACAAGGCTTGTTCCATTAAAAGACAAAACAGAATTGTATTACCAAACTCTCGAAAATTATGAAAGAGTTCGGTTTTTGCATCAGGATATTGTACAATGTCATTCAACTGAGCATGATAATACCCCAAGACACCTGGAGATCCATAATCGTATCTAGGAAGTTTACAAACTTTTGGCATTGCTTCCATCAGGGTCTTAGTGAATTGATGTAAGCTTCCTTGAATCAAAGATTTGACGATTTTTAGAAGCTCTTCCATTACTACTGCTATTCCTTGATAACCAAGAAGCTTGCACATTGTTCGAAAATGTTGCGGTCCGACAAATCCTGAATATTGCCCGTACTGTGTGCTGTACGCTAAATTCAATTGTTTACTGCCCCAAAGATAATGATGCGACATTTGTGGCGGTTTATCTCGATGAACTGGCTGTACAAATTGAAGTCCTCGACATTTTACAAATCTGTTAAATATATTTCAAGTATGAGACGCAAGTTCAGTATTTTATTATCTCAATTATTAATTTCAGTATTTTATTTATCTCAATAGTAATATTGTACCTGTTTGTTGCTGCATTATAACAATAATTTGGCAAAAAGTCATAATTTAATTCCCAAAATACATGAAGCGTGATTCGCCCATACGGAGCTAACACGTTATGATTAGCTTCTCTGAACATTGCATCGTATTCATCCAGTGCAAGCCATTTACTTAAAAGTTTATGGGTAAGACGGTTAACTTGTAGAAGTCCTTCTAATTCCTGAAGCATGCGAAATATTACAATTACATACACATTGTAAGTCACCCAAGATTTTTACGTATATTATTTCTACAGTTTTTAACTTTTACTGTACTCCTGAGGTGTACAACACCCCAGCGAAATTTTTTTCTAAAATTAATTACTCTTTAGAAAAACATTTTTTTACACATTTTCTCACATAATCAAAAACGACGGAAATATTTTAGCTGAAAATCTTAGGTGACTCACGCTCTCTGTATATTTTAAAATAGACTTAAAACTAAATCAGCAAATTATATCGTTAACTTACTACCACTCCTGTAATATCGCCAGATTCAAATTTACTAATTGCCAAATCCAATGATTTCTGCATGTCCGCGTTAATACGCTGGGTAATCAATTTATTCAAGTCAATGCTTCTTCCCAATAGTTGTACGTGTCTTTGTTTTAATAGCGTTTCGTATCTATTGGCACGAGGATATGGAAGTAAATATGCGCCAAGAGCAACACACTCTACTCGGAACCTTTTGTCTAGCAATATACTCGCGGCTAATTGCTTGTAATGAGCAAAAATTTGTTCGCTAAGCTTGAAAACGAATTGATCAAAGCATAAGTTTACTTCAGCTTCCACTTCGTCGTAAAGAAATTGTTTACGGAATATTGTCAGTGCATACAATGCACTATCATTGTACAAATCCAGTGGATACAGAACATATCTAAAAGTATAATGATATTATATATAATGATATATTTATAGAACATAGATATAATATTAAGTAAACTTACTCCATCATTGATGGTTCTTTGCTTCGCAATATATGATCAGTCAATATCCATGGCATAGACATCTCGATAGGGAACTGAAACATGTGTCAGTAAACTATGAGGCTGATAAGAATTAACTTTGACATTAGTGCAGACTATTACAAGATTCTACTAATTACACACAAACCCCATGTGTTAATAAAATAATTAGACGAACTAGTTGTATATTCACAAAAGTACAACATTAAAAATATTATGTGCTTTAAGAACACTACTATTACATAAATATACATTGATTTCATCACTTAATGCATGCTATATGTAAAATAATAAGCTGAAATCACATTAATGATTGAATGTGCAATTCATCCGATTTCACCTTCTCTTTCCATTTCGTAATGTGCTTGTGTTAAACGTGCAAATATTTCATAACATATTCCTCGAAATTTTTCTTAAAAGTTGTTACAAGAGACAAACACAAATATGTACATAAACTATTGACGACATAAACTTTGTACTAATACCACAGTCTGAAATTATTACTATTCAAATGTCAAAAATACAGAGAACAGATTCTATCTATACAAAATGCAATCTGCAACATGGACAAATGCAGTAATAATGAAACCAGTAAACCATATTAATGGTTATATACTGCAATAAGTTACAAGCGTAAGCAACGTTCCTACAATCACTCGTGTCTAACAGAGTACCTGGATACGTTTCTCCATGGTGATCAAGTCGCTGCACTCTTCATTATGCTGGTGACGTACTTGGCATTTCTAGTCATGAAATCAAGCACACAAAACGCTATTTTTGATAGTATCTTTTATGTAGTAATGCAAGACATAAATTACTAATATGTTTGTCAAAGACAAATTAAGATAAACGGAGTAAGAACACCGATCAACATTTTCCACTTAAAATATGTTTTACATATCTCCGCGCATAGAGTAAAAAAATACGAAAGAACTTTTCAATTACCTGTATCTTTCGTCCCATGGTCATCTCTAGATAAAATTCTCTGTACCATAATTGGGACAAATCACAGCAGTCTTGCAATGATTCTAAAATGAAACAAAAATATATTAGAGCAAAATATGATATCTAAGTAAAGCTTATAATTATACTATATTATAACTAACTATATAATATCAAATTATAGATATAAGTGAATATTTAAATCTACAGGAAATGCAAATTTAAAGAAAATAAATTCCTCATAATAATAACTTTAAATTAATAATAAATTATAATTAATTCCATTTACCACTAAAATTCAAGAGATAACTCCAATAAAAACTAGTTTTATGAAATTGATCGATCTGCACAAGATACTGGCCATCAATATCTTTTCTTAGAGTACGTTTTCCACCACTCTTGTCAGCAATTAATGATTCTAACATAGTACGAACCATATAAAGCTGAGTTGAAGAAGGTCCTAAAAAGAAACATTTATAACAAAAATAGAGACTCCACAATATTGTAAAAATAAATTGGCTTTGACTAATTGCCTTACCAACATTCCTTCGTGGCACTTTAATACCAAAACCGTTATCAGGATCTTTCTTCCCCTTTAAAGCAGGATCTCCTAATGGCTCTACTCCAAAATGCCAATCGGCGCAAGTTTCTCTTACAGATACTATTATACTAGAAGAAACCAATGAACAATTTAATTCATGAATGTACTATACATAGTTATTCAACGTAAAAGACACTTTCATGAGAAAGGTATCAATAGTACACATACCTACGGATAAGATCTTTTTTATTTTTAATAGCTTTACGAAGTGGTTCTCGTAAAATAAGTTGCACAAAATCTTGTAACTCCGCATATATATTTCTACGTATCGCATCAATGAAAACGGTTTCTATACGTGCCATTAATACTTGCAATCCCTTGATCATTGCAATCACTTCTATTAGAGCAAATTTTTCTTCGTCCGTGTAATTGTAACGTGTAGCCTATCGAAATAAAATGCATCAATGTACAGCACGCTGTCGGAATTTATAACTAATATAGAATATATTTTACTCTTTCATATTCTTCGGCTTCCTGTGGACATTCCTTATTCATGTGGTGATCAGTAGGATGAAGAAGCTTCCAACTATAAAGTTCTGTAACTACACTTGTCCACTGTGAAAGTAATTGCAATCCACGTAAAGCTAACTCAGCAGTTTCTCTATTTTCGACATCACTACCACATTCTTTGTAGGTGGTAGTTACTTCATTACTGTACCTGTATGGAAATTTTTTAATAAATATTGTTTTTTGCAAGTAATACAAAAGACCATAAATATATACTGTATATATATATACCTTGCTAATTCGCTAATATATTTTACATGGTCTTCTCTGATCTGTGGCAGATGTACCATAAGATCTGCTTGTGGGCTTATACTATTTGATGAAGAAGATAATGGCCATCTTGATGCATCAAAATGTTTGGAACGTTTGATGTAATTAAAAGGTGCAATTTGCATGTCACCAAATAATGGTACTACTTCCAAATTTTTAAAAATTCTATCAATTCGATCTAATTTTAATTTTTTCTTTTGATCTAATTTATTGATATTGCACAAATCGCTATCCATTAAAAATAGCCCAAATCCCATCACCTTTACCAACATGTGTTTTTCATTTGGTGTCAAATACATCTTAGTCTCAAACATATGGACACATATGTTGACTACATCTGCAAGCAACTCTTCATATCCAGCAATTTTTTCCAAGTTTTCTTTAACCGTATCGCGAATCTTATTTTGTGTAGCTAAAAACATTGATAAGTTTTGTGACTCCTGTATTGTGTGGGAATCAGACAGCACTTTAAGAAATTGAGCAGCTCTGAAATAGAAGAACACAATCAAACAAATAGACATTTTAAGATAGTGATTTAGGGTGATGAAAATTACCTCCTATAAGTAGAATAATCATTTTTCACACTAGATTTCATGTTTTTCAATTCATCCAAAACTGCAAACATATTAATGAACTTTCCTAATGTAAGCAAATACGCTTCAGAAACAAAGTCTTTCCTTTTCTCATGATGACATAAACGTTTTACTTCTCCAGAGAACCTTTCAATTGCTTTTCTCTAGAAAATGATAGGATATTAAAATTAAATGTACATGAAAATCTATATAAGAAAAAGAGTAAGATGTCAAATACTTACTTGAAAATACATAAAATTAAGTAACTTATTTACTTCTGGTGCTAGTACCTCTACAGTCTTTTCATAAATTTCTACTCTGTTTGGTTGTTCATTTGATTTTGGTTGCGGAATTGCACGAGAACAGCATCTCCATGTATATAACATAACAGCATGTTTCAATCCTTCTTCCAATAGTTCATTCTTTAAAGTAAATACATTTATTAATATATTAGTCTATTATTCATCATACATCATATATAACACTTGTTAAATGAAATTATGTTTAGACTTACCAAGCTTGCATGAACTGTAGCTTCTTCAATGTATTTAGCGATTCCCGTAACAAAACCATTCCTATCTTCAAAATTAGTATCAAAATTGGCTTGATATACTACAGAACACGGTTGTGCTTCGATGCATGGTTGTTCATCCGGTAATGTGAATTCATCGAGCACATCAACATTAGATAATGCATCACCTAAAGTTACTTTATCAGTAGTCATTTCAGTCTAAAAATAAACCTACGTAAAAAAAAAAATTATTTATTTGTTAACAAATACAACCAGGTAAAATATTTATTTACTATTGCTATAGTGACATTTTAAGATCATTAACCTAATTATATCTTCACGAACGTAAAATTTGAATGTAGATGCGAGTAATTGTACTTGAGTGATTGCTTATATAAAGTAATATAGAATAATTATCATTCGTAACGTTACTTACCTCTAAAGAGGTTACAGTACCTAGTAACTTAACTGTACTAAAAACTTATACTGCTCTACAGGAAAATGAAATATTTTAAGAAATCCACAATATAATTAACACATTGTGACGCAATGTCGAACTGTGCTACGAATCTATGGAATTGAAAATCTAATACAATCTAATACTCCACCCACCCAGTAGAAAACGTAGGATGATTATCCTATCAACAACACTCAACCCTGCATACACAGTTTCATATAGTTACATACGCATACAATGTAAATGTACACTATATTATATCTCAGGCTTTGCACGACTTTTTTACCTCCCTTAGCTTTTGCAACCATCCCCATCATTTTACTATCCACCCAATCCACAATGAATCCTGTCTTAGCATTGAATTCACAACAAATCACAGTAAATCAATTTCTGTTCCTATTCTCGTTAACGGAGCACACTGCAGCCGGAGAGCTTGCAAAAGTGAGGTATTACATACTCTACACTGTGTTGTTTCAATATGTATGTTATATACATGTCGCTACATACGTACATACATATGTATTTCTCATTCTGCTTAGTCCCCACGTCCTTCATTAAACAATTTCTATCTACATATGTAAATATAATTACTTACATATGTATGTAATGTAATCTTTTAATTTAAAAAAAAAACAGAATTTTAATCTAATTCAATTGGTTTTTATTATAGAATTAAGACTTTCGTAGCTTACAAACAACTTTTACTTAGGATGCATTTTGATCACCAAAACAGTAATTTTTCCACGAGTGTTGCGGAGTCGAAATTGAAAGTGTATTTCACGGGCAAAACACGATTCTTTGATTCTCATAGGTAGCCTTCATAATTGCCGACATTTCGTGAGAGAAGGAATTGGATGAATGAGTTGTAAAGAATAGACTCGTCACTCTTGTCCGAATCGTTTTAACAGCTTAACAATGGCAATATTCATGAAGCAATGAAATAATTATTAAAGTAAAAGTCAATCTTTTTTACGTTATTTGTTATTAAGAAATAGAGGAAAACCAACATTGTAGCCCATGATACTACACGATTCTAAAGATGATACGTCCCAAAACAATTCAATATACTCAATATAATTTTTATATATACTGAATATGATTTTTTATAATAAATATTAAAATAAAGCGAGTACTGATCGGCTGTTGTGATTTCGGAAGTCGCTCCGAAAAAGAAAAACTTTCGAAGCATAAATATTACGTAATTCTCTTTCCGCGAATGTTAGTCATATACCAAGATTTATTTTCCATATTTATCGTCGATCTGAAATTATTGTAACGGGAGTCAGGAGCCCACGCGGTATCGATCGGGCAAGTCACTTTAACGATTTACACATACAATGTAATGCCATTTTTTCAAAGTTCTTAGTAATTGAAATTGATGTTGGTCTCTTGGTTACTCTTATTTCGAATAAGCGAAGCAAGCGAGCAATTTTATCGAGTTATACGAGTTTCGAGTTAAGACTGTTTGTCATATAATATTTGTATATTGTGACCAAATCACGTGCCAATATCTGTTATGGTTAAAAAGTTATACAAATACGGCATCATATTCCTTAATCCACATCGCTGAAAAAATTATAATTATTATAATGCAAAAAATATTTAATTACTTAAAGTTAAGAATGATTATTCTTTAAATATTTTTAGTGAAAATATCATTCTAATACCTCCAATGATTCAAAATTAATAAGAAAATGACACTGTATTTCTCGATCCGGAAAATGCATTTCTATTTGAGTCGAGTTTCTTTTTCATCCCTAATAGAAAACGCTGGTGGCTCCATCTCGTAATAAACATTACGCTTGTTTATTACTTATTACAGTAATACCGCAAGTTTTGCAATACTCTCCAGCCGCAGTGCGCTCCGCTAGTGAGAATAGGAGTAGAAATTGTTTTGCTTTGATTGGCTGACAATTTAATGCTGAGACAGGATTCACTGCGGATCGAATATGTACGCAGTAAAATGTTGAACGATGTGATATCGCTCAAATCGAAGGCTAAAACAAAGACACTTATGATCAAAGTTTCCCTTCTAATCTAAAATGTTGTACTCTAGTTCATGCTTAGTATTCAGTATACATGTCAACATATGTCAATTTTACAACAATCTCCAATTGCTTTAATATTGTTTAATACTTGTGGAAAATGTCAGACAAAATAGTTATAAAAATTTTAACTTTAAATTGTTGGTGTGTAATTATTTTGTATTCAGATTTCATTAACGTAGTATTGTACGTCTTTTTCCATGTTTTAACTTCCTTCGATTTGTTTTATTAATTTTTATTATTTTATTTATGACAGGGGAATACCATACATTTCTAAGGATAGGACAAGCCGTATGGAAGCAATTGCTGACAAATTAGCTAGTGAGGATTATGGTATTATTTGTTTACAAGAAGTCTGGTCTCCGAATGATTTTAAAATGATTAAAGCGAAAACGCAAGAGCAATTGCCATACTCACATTATTTTTATAGGTTAAATACCATTAGTATGTTGTACTTAAAGTAAGTGCAGTAGAGACATCCTTATCCAAAAACATTTATTTTTTTATCATTTTATTATTTAGATACATTATCATCTTAGAGAACTTGAATGAAATTTTTAGATAATAGAATGTTTTGGTATCAGGATATTCCAAAATAAACCTTCAGATAAGAGAATCTACTGTATTTACATTGAGTTGTGACATTAATTGTATTTTAATTAAAAACCTTTCAATTACACATCTAGTGGTGTTCTTGGATCAGGAATTTGTGTCTTGTCAAAATATCGCATTGAAGATGTAATGTTTCATAAATGGCCTTTAAATGGATATGTTCACAAGATACACCATGGAGATTGGTTTGGAGGAAAGGGTGTTGGACTTTGCAGGCTCAAAATTCATGACATGAATGTTAACGTTTATACTGCGCACGTAAGAATAATTGAAATTGTTGCAATTTTTGTGCCTTTTAAAAATAAATTCAATGTGTTTAATATTTTAGTTGCATGCAGAGTATAGTAAGCATAATGATGAATACCTTGCACATAGAGTTTTACAAGCATTTGATACTGCCCAATTTATAAAAATGACTTGTGGTGGGGCTGACTTTGCTATATTGGGAGGTGATCTCAATACAGAGCCACAAGATTTAGCTTATAAAATCATTTGTGGTGTTGCTGGTTTAATTGACACTTGCTCAAACATTTCAAATAATTTAGGGACCAATGAGTGTGCCAATAACAGTTATACTAGTTCTAAAGTTGCAAGACTATTCCCCAATGGAAAACGTATAGATTATATTTTGTATTTAAGCTCAAAATTATACAAAGTATGTTAAGTTTTTGTAATGCATTTGAGTTATTAAACATAGTTCAGTATGACTAACAACAATTATTTATAGGTAGAGGTACAAGACTTTCATCATCCTTTCCCAATACGAGTACCTCACAAAGAGTTTAGTTACTCTGATCATGAAGCTGTTATGGCTGCTTTGAATGTTAGTCCTGGTAAGATAATAAGTATAGTAATATATTAAGCTTTTGTTTGATATAAATATTTAATGCTTAATTAATATTCAGGTCCGTCAACTCAGCCTCAACCAACGAATGTAGACGTTGCAGAAACATTGAAAACGGCGATAAATATATGTAAAACTTCGTTAAGGATTGTTCGCCGCCAACGTATTTGGTACTTAGTATTAGCTAGTATACTAATAGTTCCAATCGTCTGGTCTATGGGACTTGATTGTGGCATTGCGTCTGTACCTGTGAGCATTGGACTTAATGTAATACGTGCTTTTCTAACTGCAATACTGTGTTATTCTTTGTTCATGAGTACTATATGGAATAGCGTAGAAACAAACTCTCTAAAAGAAGGGTGTTTAGAAATGGAAATTTATTTAAAAAATTTAACCGAATTTGTTAACATCAAGAGGTAAAACTAATTTACTTTATACTAAAATTCCAAGTTTTTGTAATTGATAAAGAACATTTTTATTCCGCATAAAGACGTGTAACTTAGTAACATATTTTTCTTCAATTTTTTCCGATATGACAGAAGTATTTAATATGCAAAATATAACATTACCCAATAATTTTGATAAGTAATTA